AACTCTTTTCTTAAGATAACCATATTTATGCAACACGGGAGGGGCTGGGGTCATGGTGGTAGCAACCTATACCCTATTCATCATGTTGTTGTTTCCATTCCTATTACTAATACTACTCAGTAATAAAATTTAAAAAAGCTAACTCCTAATCTATTTGAAAAAACGGGTAGGGACCTGTCATCCCCACTGAATTACCCCCACAAAACAAAAAAAAAAAAAAAGGACCATTATACAACATGATCTTATGTTAAGAAATAAAAATAACCTTCATTAGAAATCATTTGTTAAGAATAATCATCATGCATAATCTCAAGCAATGTTAACCTTTGAAGCAATCTCATAAAATGCTTTTCTTTTTTATTTGCATTTTCGTCTTATGGGTAAGGTTTTGATAAGGTCGCATACAGTTGCACCTCAAAAACCTGATGGTAAAACTCATAATCAGCACGAGTAAACAGTGTGTGTGCCTGCAAATCTATTTCCACACCTTAGTGTGGGATTCGGAGCTGCAAAAGCATTGAAACTTGAAATAGACAAGCATTGAAACTTGAAATAGACAATCCAAATAATGCTTTACAAGATAAACTATTTTTAGGGTTTGGAATTGATTGGTTTTTTCAAATCTTATCAAGGTGGAGATGCTAGATTTGCCGGGTTTCCAACACATGGAATGGTTTTTTGGGCTACAGCCTTACAAAATACTTTCCCTTATTAATAATGTATGTCAGATTAGTAGCTTCATGCTTTTGATTGTTTTTATTTTCTAGATTGATAGCCTGAATTCTTTCCCCTGGTATGTTGGAGAGTTTATGTGTCTAGGTTTGCTTGCGTCAATCTCATGTGATCATTTTTTTTTTTTGGGGTGAATGTTCATTTTAATTCTTTAAGCTCAATGTTTGTTTTTTAATTGGGATTGTATACAATGAGATCATTTACCTTTTATACAAGGATGTCACAATTACTTACAACCATCTCAAGTGAAATCTCGTAGCTTGAGTGTGTCACAAAGATAAAAAAAAAAAAATTTATTTTGAGCTTTGAGTTTGGTCAATGGAATAAATGCAGCCACCCAACTTCATATCCAGTGGTCAAAATTAAGTGTGGCCACCTTGTACTAAAAGTAAATGGTCTCATTGTATACTTTCCTTTTGAATTTAAGTTAGAACTTCATTGGCCAATTAGCTCAAGCATGGACAAGAATTTAATGAGGTGTTTCAAAGTTCAGAATCGGGCTAAGACTCACTAGAGATTCTAATTCACCTAGTCTGACTAGGGGGATCCAGGTTTGGACAAAGAAATTCAAGAGAAGAACTAAAGAATTAGGGTGATTCTGGAGTTCTTCTATTCGGAATAGTTTGTCTCTTGATTCTGATCTAATTTAGGCGAGCTCAAGTTGGCTTGGCGATAATCATATATTCAATTTATAAGTAAGAAGAATCGACACAATAAGAAAATCTTGGGCATGCAAAATTTCGCTATAAGTTTATTATAGATGCCCCACCAAATGAAGATAATGAGGTCAAGCTCTTTGCATAATAAACAATCCGTTCCAAATGTGGGCAAGTTAGTTAGAAAGTAGACAAATGGGTGAACCATTTATCTAAGGGTGTGGTTTGTATTGAGGCCCTAAACAATCAAAGCAATGCACACCTTCAAATAGTTCAAAACATGTTGTTTCAGTATCACTCTGTGGTCGAAAAATATGTTTTTATCGCTAATTATAAAATTTAAATATTAAATAATAGTATAGATCGAGTAGATCTATGAAGACTTGAAAAGCTTGAAAATTGACGGTCTAGATATTACATTACCAGATGTACTATTTCCAATACTTAAAATTTATTTTTTCTCATGTCCGTACTTCTTGAGGTTAAGATGATTGAACTGAGCAGTTTTCACCATCGAAGCAACTTCCTCGAGTGAATTTTTGAAGTGCGCCTTAATTTGATTGTTTAGGGACTCACCCTAATATAAACTTTTTCTTTTTTCTAAAAAAATGTGATTTACAATGAAATCAAATGCCTAATCTACTAGAAATAATTTTTTTAAAAAAAAAGAAAAAAGAAAAAAAAAATCAAAGGCCTCATGATGTTGGTGTGTCCCATAAGCACAAATATTTTATTAAGATTGTTACAATGTATTTTCTAGTAATTATATTAGTCGTCATTTTATTTTATCACGAGTGATGTAGTGAGGTTGCACTTGTAAGGTTGTGTAGCAGGAAGTTATAAAACTATTAGGTGGTTACTAGTTACTATTGTAAGTTAGAAGTTATTGTTGTGAGTGGGGAATTATTGCAGTAAATATGTCTGTAAACTTATTTTTAAAGAGAGGTGTATTGTAGGAAAAGTTGGGTCACATGTATTAAGGTTAATCTTGAGTGTCAAGATTGTAATGCCTTTGTGTACCTCATTTTTTATCTTTGATTGCAAGTTTTTCTTTTACCTCATCTTGATTTTTCTTCTTCTTTTTATTTGCCTGTGAGTCTTGGGTTAGTACGACATTGTTACACTATTTGAGAAGCGGATTATTCCAATGTTTTGAAAGCTGTCTTTCCCTATAGATTCGATAAACCCAAAAGCAAATGTTAGTTATGAAGAAAATTTTGGGACCGATTAACATAGAGACCTGACAGACATGGAAAAAAAAGGGTTTATATTGATGACATGGGAACTTAATTATGTGATTTAGAGGCCCTTTGGAGGATAGTGCAAACGCCTAATAATAGATATTCCTAAGTATTAAAATATGACAAAAGTTTATATAAGGTTGGTGCCCTAAAACATTCAAGTTAACGTTTACCTCAAAAATTCACTAGAAGAGGTTGTTTCGATACTGAAAAATACTCAATTCCATCATCTCGACCTCAAGATGTATAGATACGGGAATTTCAAGTTTTAAAAATAGTGCGTCGTATAATATAGTACTTACACAACCAATTTCATGATTTTCGAGTATTCATAAATCTACTTGATTTACACCATTTTTTAATCTTTAAATTTTATAATGAAAGATGAAGATACACTTCAGGCCATCACAAAAAATTATACTACTGGAAAAAATACATTTAAGCACTATTTGAATGTGCGCCTTACTTCGATTGTTTAGAGCTCACACACTTAAAATATTAAATATGGATATTGGATAATAGATAATTTTTAAGCTCGAAACTCTTTTTAATTATTTTCTTAGATTCATGATTATGGATCCTTACAAATTTGGATCCAAAAATCTATATTTAAGATAGATTTAAGAGGGGGATGCTGATAGCATAAATCCTCATAAGCTGGATTAAGATAATGATAACATATATTTTTTCTTTGGCTGACAATTTGGCTATAAGCACAATTTACAATTCTGATTAATCATTTTGCTATAACGTACCCTCTGCGTGTGCAATATACTGAGTGCGTGAGTGTGAGAGGGAGAGGCGTCCAACCATTTGATTGTTGGCTTAAATTACTTATTAAAGAAATAAATGGGCCCAATGTAAAGATATGCATGCCTCAAATAAATGGGCTTTGTGGGCCAACCATGAGTGTTTAAACGTGTTAAACTAGCAAATGTGATTGACCCATTGACTCATACAAACCAATGAATCCATGGGTTACTATCTTTAACTTGTGTGGCCACCAAAGATTACTCAATCAAATGGTTTGTTGCTTGAAAAAGTGCACTTTTTTACTTGATTGACGTTTTGAAAGGAAATATTAATGGGGTTGGTTCATGACCAGTAAGTGGGTGGGGCAATGAACAAATGAATGGATTTATGACTTGTAGATGGATTTTCGGAAAAATTGATGAGATGAAGGAGGTCAATGAAATGGTTTTTTGACTCCCTTTATTAATAATGATAATAATAATTTAGTGGGGGAGACGATCGATCCCTGTCTGTTTTTTTAAATAATTTAAAAATTAAATTTTTTTTAAAATGTTAATGAGATGATGTGAGTAGGAATGAAAACCACAACATGTTCCCTGAGGTGTGGGGTACTACTACAACAACCCCGGCCCCTTTCATGTTTCTACCTTTGGTTTATGATGTAAGAGCTGTACAAGCAACTACAAAATCACTTTAAAAAACCCATCTTAGAGATAGTTTAAGACCCAAATCTTCGCAAATACAATCTTTTTCGAGAAAAAATCTTGAGATCTAAAGGTCTAAAAATGCTCCGTCTTGACTGCTTGGTCGTGTATGGTACCTATTTTAACATCTGATGGTTTCGATTCGTGATTGTAATCTCTGGACTGAAACTACGATTTCATAGAAACCTTAACCCAAAATGGTTCGTGATTATGGTTATGACTTGATTTAAGTAAATAAACTGTGTTTCTATTGCTTCAGAGGGAGCTTCATGTATTTAAGTGACACATTGAACAAATAACAGGGACCTTATTGAACAAATTATAATAAACTTTAATATATTTAACCGTTTGTTTTTTATATACCTTATGCTGTCAACATGACATATTGAACAAATATATATTCAAAAGGATAGAAGTTTCTATAAGGCTTCGATTTTATGAAAACAAAATAATGTTTCATCTCAAATCCTCGTTCAGCAATGGAAATCTCTATGACCGACAATAAAATTTTCAATTAAAAAAATATACAGATCTTGCAGTTTTTTGAACACTTATTTTTAGGACAAATGGATAATCTAGACAATTTATTAGAATATATACTATTTTTACAGCTTGAAATTCTATTTTTTTTCACAACCATAATGTTGAAAAGCCAAGATGATCGATATAATGTTTTCCAATGCTTGAATTGTAATTTTTGAAAAGTTATAAGGTGAGGCTTTATATTAAATAATTTTGAATGAGTCCTCGACTCAATCCTCATTTTGTTGTATTTTGAATGAGTCTTCATTTTGTTGTAACAATTTTTTCCCTTTTTTACTAGGATCGACTAACTCAACCCTTGACTCTTCTGTAAATCTATTTATACTCTCTACTTGTATTCATTCATGTGGTATGAATGAAAAGTTAAAAAACTTCAACAAGATTTCACAGTTTCTCTCTCTGATTGAGAAAGAGACCAAACGATCTTTCGACGACGCAAATTGCTTTTTTGGCGTGTTGTAAAAGCTTGGGGCCCTCAAATCTTCAATTTTTCGATCACCTCTACAACTTTTTCTAGCTAGATTTCTCCAACGAGATCAAGCACAAGAGCCATGGCTGCGAATGACCATTAGCAGAGGTAGAGCGTGTGTAAGAGAGGGCGTTTCAAACCCTATAAAGAGAGAGCCAAAAAGGGTATTTTTGCAACAAGGGAAAGAAGTGATCCATAAGGACCATATTATATCAAAATCATGTTGACGAGAAGTGGATACAAAACCAATTTTGAAGGAAGCCATGAAGAGACGATCTCCTCTTTCTCTCCTTTCTATCTTCATCATTCGGATAATCCAGGGATGACGTTGGTTTCCCAACAACTCACTGGAGAAAACTATCCGCTGTGAAAGAGGGCTATGCTTGCAGCCCTCAAGGCCAAACACAAGCTCGGTTTTATCGATGGAGCCCTTGTTCAACCAGAGGACAATTCGCCTTATTTTCCTTCGTGGAGTCGCTGTAACACAATGGTTCTCTTATGGATTTGGAATGTTGTTTGAGCGTTTTTCACAAAGTAATGCTGCCCAAATCTATCACATTACTCATGATATTTCCAACCATGTTCAGGACCAACTCTCTATCCTGCAATATAACACCATGCTCAAGGGGTATTGGGATGAGTTGGATTCCTTAACACCTCATCCCAAGTTCTCTTGTGGTGTTCTCAAAGAAGCCTTTCAGCTAAGACAAAATGAGCGGGTATTTCAGTTTCTCATGGGGTTAAATGAAACTTATTCCACTGTGAGAAGTCATATTCTCACTATGGACCCCTTACCATCCATAAGTAAAACTTACGCTTTGATCTTGCAAGATGAAAGACAACATAGTATTCAGCAACAGTTACAAAACCCTTAGAAGGTGCTGCTATGGTTGCTTCCAACGTCAATGGAGGTGGTCGTGGACATGGTACTTATGGTAGTCACTTCAAGGGTCGTGGCAACGATAGAGAAGGATGTGGACGCGATAGACCACGATGTGACCATTGTGGTTTTTTTGGTCACATTTGTGACCAATGTCATAAGTTGCATAGTACGCAAGGAACCCGGAACAGTGCTGCTGCTGCCAACAATTCCAGCAAGGAGACTGGCAAACTTGCCGACAATTCCATTGTTGTGCATCTTTCCCTAGACCAGCACTTTCAGCTCATGTCTTTGCTCACTGCTGATCACACCTTATCTTCAGCTAACGTTGCAGGTATGGCAGTATCTTGTGCCTCTTTGCCCTCTTTGTCATCCTTGCGGATTGTAGACACTGGAGCTTCCGACCACATGGCATCTCCTTCAGATTTTTTAGAACCTAAAATCAATTTGCATCGCAATCAATCTATCCGTCTCCCTAATGGTGAAGATGTTCGTGTTTCACACAAAAGAAATTGCTCTATTTCTTCTTCACAGCATCAAAAAGATGTTTGATGCATTCCTAGCTTTGATTTAAATTTACTTTCTGTAAGCAAACTAACCAAAACCCATAATTGTGCTGCTATTTTCTTTCCAACTTTCAGTGTGTTTCAGGACCTAGCAACAAATAAAGTGATTGGTTTGGGGGAGGAATGTGGCAGAGTGTATTTTTACAAGAACCCAGGAATAAGGCATCTCTGCCATCAAGTGTCTTCTGTCCAACTCTGGCACAACCGACTCGGACATCCATCCAACCAGCGCTTAAAAAATTAGTCCACCGAACTTTCTATTTCTTTCTCTGAAAATAATTGTTGTCCTTGTGAAATTTATCTTGTTGCCAATAAAACTAAGGCGCCTTTTCCTCTTAGCATTAATAGATGTACTATTCCTTTTGAACTTATTCATTATGATATTTGGGGAGCATACACCACTCCAACACACACTGGTGCCCGATATTTTTTAACCATTGTTGATGACTTTAGCCGTTGCACGTGGATTTTTTTGATAAAATTCAAGAGTGAAACATTCACCTATATAAAACATTTTTGTGCTGTGATAGAAAACCAGTTTAACTTAGCAATCAAAACCTTGAGATCCGACAATCATCAAATGCAGATTTTCTTGAATGAGAAATAAATTCTACACCAAAGGACTTGTGTCAATACACCCCAACAAAATAGAGTGGTTGAACGCAAACACAAGGATCTCCTTCAAAAGCTTGGGCTCTAAGTTTTCTTGCTGGCCTATCTATTAAATTATGGGGAGAGTGTAACCTTGCTGCCACTTACCTAATTAACCGATTGCCTTCTCCCGTTCTACAAGGCAAAACACCTCATGAAACCTTGTTCAATGTCAAACCAACCTACCAACACCTATCCGTATTCAGATGTTTGTGTTATGCTGACACCAAATCACATGATAAGTTTCCCCCTCCTACACGCAAATGTGTGTTTGCTGGTTATCCATATGCACAGAAAGGATAAAAAGTCTTTGATCTTGACGAACGAAAATTATTTGTCAGCAGGGATGTCTCCTTCCATGAGGACCAATTTCCTTTCCTATCCAGTCAAACTATTACAAATATTGATATTCTAAATTCATCTATTGCTATTCCCATCATCGAGGATGTTACAACAATCCAAGACACACCTATTGTGCCTACCATCTGTGCACACATTGAGTTTCCGCCATCTCCTACCATCACGGAGCTACCATTAAACCATTGAAACAACTGCTACGGATCTCGTTACCGCCATCAACACACCACCGCCACTGTCCTCACTCAAATCTGCACGTGTACACCGACCTCCAGGATGGCTTGCTAATTACAAGTACTCTCATGTTGCCTCCTAACATACAGACCATCACACTTCATCAATTGGTTCTCAAATAGGTACTAAATATCCATTGGGTCACTATGTTTCTTACGACAATTTTTCCCCTATTCATCGAGCCTTCCTTGCTTCCATATCCTCTAATCATGAACCTAGAAGTTTTTCTACTGCCATTAAAGATGCTCGTTGTAAGGATGCCATGGCTGCTGAGATCAAAGTACTAGAAGCAAATCATACTTGGATTGTTACTCCCTTGCCACCTAGAAAGCATGCTATAGGGTGCAAGTGGGTCTACAAAATTAAGTATAATGTTGATGGAAGTATCGAGTGCTACAAAGCGTAGCTTGTAGCTAATGGGTATAACCAACCCAAAGGTATCGATTACAACGTGACCTTTGCCCCTGTAGCCATGCTAGTCACAGTTCGATGTTTACTTATCATCGCTACAACAAAGGAATGGCTCCCTTTTTAGTTAGACGTTACTAATGCTTTTCTCCATGGAAATTTAACTGAAGAAGTATACATGCAGCTTCCCCTCGGCTTTCAACGAAAGGGGGAGCATGGAGAACATCTTGTATGTCACTTAAAGAAGTCTTTGTATGGGCTCAAACAAGCATCCCACAACTGGTTCTCTAAGTTCTCTTATTTACTTCTTCAAGCAAGATTCGAACAGTTTAAGGCCGATTACACCATGTTCAGACTCAAGAACAAATACCTAATTACTGTCATTCTACTCTACGTTAATGATATAATTCTCGCCGGGAATGATTCTTCTACTATTACTTCCATCAAGCAATTCTTACATCGCCAATTCCAACTCAAAGATCTTGGTTTATTTAATTATTTCTTGGGAATTGAAGTTACTCGCTCAAACAACGGCATCTTCCTCTTTACATAAATACACATTGGACATTTTGGAAGAAACTGGATTACTTGGCCCCAAACACGTGCCATTTCCCATGGAACAGAACCTCAAACTGAGAGCTGATGATGGAACTCTACTCTCTGATCCTGGACCTTATCGACGACTTGTTGGTCGCCTTATTTATTTAACCATCACCAGACCAACGATTACTTTTTCGGTCAATATGCTGAGTCGATTCATGCAAATGCCAACGTCACATGGATGCAGCCACGCCTGTTCTTCGGTGCCTCAAGTCCAGTCCAGGCAAAGGAATCTTTATGACTTCCTCCAATACATTGCAGCTCTTTGGTTACTTCGACTTCGACTGTCTGGCTTCTCCGACTCCGACTGTCCGGCTACTCCGACTCCGACTGGGCTAGCTATCCTGCTACTCGCCACTCTGTCATAAGCTACTGTACGTTTCTTGGAAACAACCCCATATCTTGGCGCACAAAAAAACAGTCAATCGATTCTCGTTCATCTGTCGAGGTAGAATATCGAGCCATGGCAACACAACCTGTGAGGTAGTTTGGCTCAAATACCTTCTTCACGACCTAGGCATTCCTCACTCACAGCCCATGCTACTATACTGCAATAATCAAGCAGTGTTACATAGTATCCAATCCCGTCGTCCACGAGCGTACCAAGCATATCGAATTGGATTGTCATGTTGTTCGTGAAAAGTTACAAGCTAAGGTTATTCGCACTCACTACTTCCGAACTGATAATCAGAGGGCCGATATAGTAACCAAACCGCTTGGAACAGAGCAGTTCATGTACCTACAATCCAAGTTGGGTGTTATCGCTCTACACACACCAACTTGAGGGGGAGTATTAAATAATTTTGAATAAGTCCTTGACTCAATCCTCATTCTGTTGTATTTTGAATGAGTGTTTTTTCTTTTTTTATTGGGATCGACTAACTCGACCCTTGACTCTTCTGTAAATCTATTTATACTCTACTTGTATTCATTCATGTGGTATGAATGAAAAGTTAAAAAGCTTCAACAAGATTTCACACTTTACTTATTTTGACAGAGTTGCAGCCTTATCGAACGATTTTCCTATTCAAAAACTTATGTTGAACAAAAGAATGACTTGACAGCTTTGTGCAAGGAAAATTTGAGTGATAAAATGAATCTTGTTTATGGGCAAGGAAAAGCCTCAAATGAAAGAGCTTAAATATGTAGCTTAAATCGGTAAGAAGAATCGAAGCTTAATTAGCCATCATAACAATCAAAGTATAGATTGTAATAAGACAAAGCCATGAATTCTAGTAAGTTTAAAGCTAAGTTTAAAGAACCTAGTATTTCAATTCAGACTGGCATTTAGAGATAAAAGAGGAAAAGAAAAACTGAAAGAAATTGGATATTAACAATTGAAGTGATACATAGATTGTAGTGTGCCATGGATAGTAATGAGTTATACATAAGCATCAGAGGCACCAAAAACCGATTTGAATTCACAATTGCACTGTAGATGAAGTAAAGAAACTGAAAACTGATCAAAGATCAAAAGAATGAATTAATGATCTGTAAATCAAATGTATAGCTATATGACACTCAATCCATCTAATCAGGATGAAATGCATGATCTACTATGCACTATACATTGTCCCTAACTACGAAAGCAGAAAAATTATCATTGGTCTATCCTTCGTCCCCTGATTTTGCAACCACTCAGAAACCAAAAAAATTATCCTTTGTCCCCCAACTATGAAACAACCCGGAAACCAACAAAATTATCTTTTTCTCCCGGACTATGAAACCAAAAAAAAAGAGGAAGCAAAAACTTCTCAACTAGGTTTTGGAGAACCAAATTTCTTCCATATCGACCTCTTAACTTAGAACTCATTTTTCTTCTAAGAAATTCTACGAAATTTTCTTGTTTCACTGAATACATTTCAGTTATAAGAAATTCTGCAAAATTTTCTTGTTTCACTGAATGTGTATTCAATGAATTCTAACTTGAAACTCTTTTTTCATTGTGCAAAATTTTCTTGTTTCATTGAATCCGTTTCGGTTGAATCCGTTTCAGTGAATTCGATTAAGTGAATTGGCCTTTCCAGATGCAGCCAGGATAAGGGTTTGCAGGAAAGTTTTCTTCAAGTTGAAGGAAGTCATCGCTTTCTCTGAATGAGGGACCTCCAGTCTTGTTCTTATGTGCAGCCTTCACCTTATTTGAGAAATTTTCTCAACTAAGCTCACCCCTGTCTAGTTTGTCAATCATTTGGACGAACTTACGCCTGAAACCACAAAGAAAATTAAAAAATTAGCATAAAAGTAAATATATAATAGCATAATCCTTTCACAAAGAAAGAAAGACATCACTACAAAAAAACAAACAATGTATGCGTATTAAAGAAAGAAAGACATCACTACAAACAACAAACAATGTTTGTATATTTAAGAGATGTATTCACTCATGCATACAAAGACTCTTAGTCTCACTTGTTAGGTATTATAGTCTTTTGAAAATCTTTGAAACTTTCGATGACCTTGCACCGCCTTAGCCTTGTTCCCATCATAAGTGTACACAAATACATCACTCTTAAGGGCTAACATGTAGACCACAGCTGCAAGCCTGTTCTGATACTGTTTAAACAGAGCCAGTTCATCTCCAGTTAGTGAGTGTACGCATTTGGGAATTTACTTCAGAGAATTTTCATGCTACTACTCCCATATATCTCTCCTGCAACAATGTAGATGATAGTGTCTTCAGGGTAACCCATGGCTTTCAAAAAGATTACCATTTCTCTGGGGGGTCATTGGGCACCCTCCTTGAATCCGTTTATCTTCTCCATCGATCTCTTTCTCTTTCCAATGCTTGACTGCCTTTCTCATTTCATAGAGCCTCTCTGATTCTTCTGAGGTAAGGTTGTGACTGCATCCTGTGAACGCAAGCATGTTCTTCTCGTAGCTGCAGAAATAAGTGGAAGATAACACAAAGAATAGGCAGCTGAAAGAAGTGGAAGATAACACGAGGGATAAGCAGCTGAAATAAGTGGAAGATAACACAAGGAAGAATTTGATAAGCTGCTGGAATAAGTGGAAGATAACACAAGGGATAAGAAGCTGAAATAAGTAGAGATAACACAAGGGATAAGCAGCTGAAATAAGTGGAAGATAACACAAGGAAGAATTTGATAAGCAGTTGAAATAA